AACTACACGCAAGATGTTAGCTGCCAGTAGTACAGAAAAACCGTTTTGTCAAAAGAACTACTAAATACATTAAAAATATTAAATGTCAATGAAATATAGCAACTCAGTTGTCGAAAGAACTACTGAATACGCGCAAGATGTTAGTTGTCAGTGAAATATAGCAACTCATTGGTCAAAAGAACTACTGAATACACATAAGATGTTAGTTGTCAGTGAAATATAGCAACTCATTTGTCAAAAGAACTACTGAATACACGTAAGATGTTAGTTGTCAGTGAAATATAGCAACTCATTTGTCAAAAGAACTACTGAATACACGTCAGATGTTAGTTGTCAGTGAAATATAGTAAACTCATTTGTCAAAAGAACTCCTGAATTCACGTAAGAGGTTAGATGTCAGTGAACTGTAGCAACTCATTCGCCAAAAGAACTATTGAATACACTTGAGATGTTAACTGTAAGTGAAATATAGCAACTCATTTGTCAAAAGAATATTCACTGTAAATATAGCTAAATTGACACCATTTCAAATCTCGTTACATAATCTTCGTACTAATATAGGTATATGTTATTATACATGCAAAAATATCTTGACCTCTCTAACTTTCAATGACGTTTAAATTTTCTCAAGATCGACCATTTAATGATTTATGGTTAAAGTTTCCCAATCCTGATTGGTCAAGAATTATTCACATTAGTGTCAACACAAATAGACCAGTACTTTAAAAACAAACACACACGATAAAGCAAATAAAAGATTCTGTTAACTTTTTTTGTACAGTACAGATGTACACGAAAGGCAATGTTACAAAGATGTTTTATTTAGAAAGTTTTGTTATCTACAACTTAATCATTATGCCATGAAGGATTCTCTATATTTTTTATGATAATGCAGCGATTTATTTCTTGAAGAATAAATGTACAGAAATTCTAAACATTACGACGAATGTTACTTTATCCATCATTTATACTTTGCATTATCATGATAACAAGGTAGCCACAGATATAACAGCCTAAATTTGTTTCTGCTGTAATTGTGGATTGAATCCACTGATTGTGGATTAAACTTTCTAATAATTGTTGCTTGTTTGTTTGTAATTAAGCACAAAGCTACACAATTGGCTATCTCTGCTCTGTCCACCGCGGGTATCGAAACCCGGATTCTAGCATTGTAAGTCCGCAGACATAACGCTGTGCCACTGGGGGGGGGACTTTTCTAATAAACGAAATTCTATATCTAATGCCTAAAAACGTTTACTTGTATCAGTATTATAATGAGAATAAACGCATCGAAGAGGCTTTAGTATTATACCTTGTAATTCCTGCCATAAATTGAAAAAGAAAATCATAATCAATTATCAAAGCGCAGAATCTTTTTAGTTGGATTTGAAAAACAAGCGCTTTTAAAACCGTTTTTGTTCATGAATAGATACGTTCCAATAAAACGGAAAACTTAATTATTTCAGGCAATAAAATACATGTTTTTGAATCGGAGACTAAATCTGTTTGTTTGTTGAATTTTGCGCAAAGCTACACGATGGCGCCCCCCAGTGGCACAGCGATATGTCTGCGGACTTACAACGCTAGAATCCGGATTTCGATCCCCGTGGTGGGCAGAGCACAGATAGCCCATTGTGTAGCTTTGTGCTTAACATCAAACAAACTTACTCGATGGCTGTCTGCGGTAATCAACCCTAATTTTGAAATGACAGACTCGCCAACTCTCAGGCTAATCTAATCGAATAATGACGCTAACGGTCAATTATAATGCTCCCACGCCTAAAAGGGTCGAGTATGTTCTATGGCGGGATTCAAACCCGCAACCCATGGGTTGCGAATCGAGTGCCATAGCCACCAGGCTAGAAGAATAAAAAAGGATAGAAATCATACAAAATTACATAAATCATAGAATGACATTGCGAGACTAATTTTATACTATGCATTTTTTGTTATTTTAGGCAGAAACAATAATGCACCCACGACACAAACTCAGGTAGAAAATGCGCAATATTTGTTACAATATTTTAACTGTTTGTGCTCTACCTAGGAGAGTATTAATTCATTTTACTTTTTTTGCAGCGAAAGTTTTAAAAGAACGATATTGCGTTTTAGATGTGTGACTAAATGAATAGTCCATTCAGCACTACCGTGTATATTCAGTTTGGAAATGTGTTCAAATTACGCCTTATATGCCTCCAATGGTATATTTCTATCACAATCTGTTGTATTCTTTAATGTGCGATACTATAGAATTGGCTTGAAAATTTCCGTAACTTTGTAAAATAGTCGTGCAGCTATAGTAGTGCAGGAAGGTTGTAAAATAGCCATGCAGCTATAGTAGTGCAGGAAGGTTGTAAAATAGCCATGCAGCTATAGTAGTGCAGGAAGGTTGTAAAATAGCCATGCAGCTATAGTAGTGCAGGAAGGTTGTGAAACAGCCATGCAGCTATAGTAGTCCAGGAAGGTTGTAAAATAGTCGTGCAGCTAAAGTGGTTCAGGAAGGTTATAAATAGTCGTGCAGATAAAGTGGTTCATGAAGGTTATAAAATAGTCGTGCAGCTATAGTAGTCAAAGAAGGTCGTAAAATAGTCGTGCAGCTAAAGTGGTCCAGGAAGGTTATAAAATAGTCGTGCAGCTATAGTAGTGCAGGAAGGTTGTAAAATAGCCATGCAGCTATAGTAGTGCAGGAAGGTTGTAAAATAGCCATGCAGCTATAGTAGTGCAGGAAGGTTGTAAAATAGCCATGCAGCTATAGTAGTCCAGGAAGGTTGTAAAATAGCCGTGCAGCTAAAGTGATTCAGGAAGGTTATAAAATAGTGGTGCAGCTAAAGTGGTTCAGGAAGGTTATATAATAGTCGTGCAGCTATAGTAGTGCAGGAAGGTTGTAAAATAGCCATGCAGCTATAGTAGTGCAGGAAGGTTGAAAAATAGCCATGCAGCTATAGTAGTGCAGGAAGGTTGTAAAATAGTCATGCAGCTAGAGTAGTCCAGGAAGGTTGTAAAATAGCCGTGCAGCTAAAGTGGTTCAGGAAGGTTGTAAAATAGCCGTGCAGCTAAAGTGGTTCAGGAAGGTTATAAAATAGTGGTGCAGCTAAAGTGGTTCAGGAAGGTTATAAAATAGTCGTGCAGCTATAGTAGTGCATGAAGTTTGTAAAATAGCCATGCAGCTATAGTAGTGCAGGAAGGTCGTAAAATAGCCATGCAGCTATAGTAGTACAGGAAGGTTATAAAATAGTCGTGCAGCTAAAGTGGTTCAGGAAGGTTATAAAATAGTCGTGCAGCTATAGTAGTCTAAGAAGGTCGTAAAATAGTCGTGCAGCTAAAGTGGTCCAGGAAGGTTATAAAATAGTCGCGCAGCTATAGTAGTGCAGGAAGGTTGTAAAATAGTCGTGCAGCTATAGTAGTCTGGGAAGGTTGTAAAATAGCCGTGCAGCTAAAGTGGTTTAGGAAGGTTATATAATAGTCGTGCAGCTATAGCAGTCTAGGTCCTGCAATCATGGGTGATAAGACAGAAATGGTATCGAAACTCCTTGTAGCCAAAAACATAGCAAAATATAGCCTACAATAATATAGAAATAATAACGAGCAAAAGAATATTTCGACAGATAATACGACGTTTGTAATGTTCTGCTCTTTGATTTTATCTTTGATGATAAATAATAAATTTTGAACAGAGGTTCCTGGTGTTAAGCTGGTTCATTTGGCTGCTTAAAATGGTTAGATAAGAGCAACGTGCCATTACTAAATGAATTACTAACTGAATTCTGTGTATTTTGAAAATTATATTGATTTTCTCTATAGGACTTAGTCTGTCATACTCAAGTATTGACACTGTTGATTAACTCAAGTGAGTGATTACGTATACAGGTTTCTGTTTAGATACAGTCACGGTTTCGATCAATAAACTTTACAGAACATGCTCTAGGGAATGGATTTGCAAACTATGGCTGTTTAGTTAGTTAGTTTGTTTGCTTGAAGTTAAGCACAAAACTACACAAAGAGTTATCTGTGCTCTGCCTACCACGGGTATCGAAACCCAGTTTCTAGCGTTGTAAGTCCGCAGACATACCGCTGTACCTCTGGGGGAGGGGGGGGGGGTAGGCTGTTTAGTCAACAAAATTGCTCAACCATATAAAATATGCTTTATAGTTAAAAACGTGTTTTTAAGACTGGTAGAAAGAAAGCGACATAGTTAATAAAACATATAAGATACGAAATACCTTTCAGTGAATAAAAGATAAAAGCAAAGAAATTGCAACCAAAAATCAAATTATTAAGCCACGTGCCTGCTAATGCACGAGCGTATTTCGAAAGTGTAGAGTTGATAAAAAAACATTTTTTTTCTACGAATAGTAGGTGAGGATGATATAAACAGTGATTTTGATTTAGTTAAGAAGTGACGTGAAGTTAATATATGACGCACTAAGCTTGGAACTGTAAAAGCATCTCTTTAAACAGAATGAAGTCAATTCGTGTTTTAACGATCCTGATATCGATTGCATTTTCTGTTACAGATTATAATACCAGTTTTTATTTTAACTTATATTTTGTTTAATGTTATTATTGGAGGTTGTAGTTATTATTAAGTACGGTAGTAATTAATAGTAGGGATCGACAAGGTTTCCAAAAAAAAATTCACGCGCCAAAAAACCACCCTATTGAATTCCTAAGCGGAAAACCGACCATTCAATATATTGGTTACGATATATTATGTTCATATATACTAATAATACGCTAGAAAGGTCGCTAACATTTCCAGTATAACAATTCAAACATTTCTAAAACAGAAACTTTTTCGTCTACTACCTACCTACCTGATCACGTAAGCGGGGCTAGCGCCTAGGCGGCTCGGACTATCGCTACAAGATTTCTCCAGCTTGCTTGACTGGTCTGCGGGTATCCGCTTTTTATATTCTGATAAATATATATAGATTTTTTTTTATTTTTTTACAAATAGTAACTTATCATGCAAATACTTAAATATCTTTTCAACCCAACAGATGGTGCTACATATCGGTGGATAGACACGTGACAGTTTCTAAAGGTAAAGTGTGTATATATACTTTATACAGGTATAACATAAAAAAGTAAACAAACAAGAGCATTACAAATTATGAATTTTAAAATGAAGTAGGGATCCTGCTACAGAAAATAATTAAACAAGAATTAAAACCACAATCACAAAGTTATAAAATTTAACCCCTACTTTGGCAGCTTTATACACTTATGTGTAGGCCAAAGTTAGGATTACATTTTATAAATTTGTGATTGTGGTTGTAATTCTTGTAAAAGCTATAGCTATGAGGGATATGGCTATACTGAAAGTTGATAGATGTTGTGTCCATTCCATGGACATATAAAAACTAGCAAATAGATAAGAAAAAAATGTTAACGGAAAGTAGGGAGCGTTAGTTATTCCTAGAGTTGCTATAAGAAGTATCCAAAACAAAATAAATGCTGCAATTAAAAGTATACAAACCAGTAAAGTGATATTAGTAGAGACTGAAAATCGTTTTAAAATCTATCCAACTAGTATCACTTTACTTGTTTGTGTGCTTTTTTATTGCAGCATTTATTTTGTTTTTGAAACTTCTTATATCAATTCTACGAATAACCAACGATCCCTACTTTCCGTTAAAATTTTAATTTATTTACTCTTTATATTAAAGGCTCACCGGTAAGTGTGAAGGCTCTTATCGCTAAAAACCGGGTTTAAATACCCATGGTGGGTCATAATAAAGATGGAATATTTTTCACAATCCAATGTTTTAAAGCTGCTATTTTACTGAAAACGTAATAATCTAAATATATACAGAAAATACAATTAACATTAATTTGTATGCGTATATGTATAGAAATATACATTTATTGAGTTTGATACAGAACTCGGTCCTTAACAAAACTTTTTGATATAGCTACTGATGTATAAGAGGCTTAAATAAAATGTCACTCTAATGTAAACAATACTTAACTTTACTTCGTCGATGAAAAAGTTTTTAAATATTTTTTCCTGAAAACATGTATCTTATTCAGTTCGATCACAGAATTTTCTAATTAGTGTCTGTGTGAGCTGTTCAACAGAACTAATGACAAGCTGTCGACACGTGCTTTCGGGTGTGAATAATCATTACAGAAAGGTTAATTAAAGTTTCGGAAGTCATTTTGTCCGATAACGTTCACGTTTCGTTACATGCAATGTTGGGAAGTTTTCAATGACATCATGACTGTGGTTATTATAACATCGTGGCAACGTTTACGAAATGTTTCAGTTAATGCAATATTTTCTTGTCTTATCTTTCTGAACTATCGGAAACACCAATTTCAATGTTTTTGCGATCCATAATTTTTCTTCTTCTTTCAGAAATAGTATACCTTGGATGACAAGAAAATCCTCTAAAGTGGTTAATTTTAGTGAACATCTTATTTGGGTTTTATAAAGATGTTTAGAACACATAGAAACCACATCCTAAATAGATATAAGATTATTATCACATTACATGCTTCTTATTGTATATAGTTGTTTTTTATGACTATGTTAACTGTTGCTTGAACTGTATGTTTTGAATTTCTTTGTTAGCTGTTGCTTGAATTGTATATGGGTTCTTAATGATCATGTTACATGTTGCTCGAAATGTATATGTGTTTTTAATGATCATGTTAACAGTTGCTTGAATTGTAGATGTGTTTTTAATGGCCATGTTAGATGTTACTTGAATTGTAGATGTGTTTGTAATGACTATGTTAGATGTTGCTTGAATTGTATGTTATTTTAATTTTTGTGTTAGCTGTTGCTTGAAAGACAGTTACCAAACTAAGTACAAGTGAACTATTCACCAGAGGAAGGGAAATTAGTCACCATCACCTTCCGCCACAAAGGGTTTTTCGTGTTCTTTGAATTAAATAACGGGATTGATTGTTACTTTTATAACACGCTTACAGATGAAAGTGAGAAGCGTGTTAGGAAGGGTTAGCCGAGACCTACACACCGGCAGTAAAACATTAAAGTTAACTTTTAGTTGGGAGGCATTGGCTTTGACTGATCTAAAACTTTTATCTTTCTTCACATGTTTATAAAGTAATTTAATTAATTTTGTATTAACGCCCTCTAAGTGTTATCTCTTTGTAATTGGCTTGTAAGCTTTCTGAAAAATTAATTTCACACATTTATGGAGAATGCTTTGTCAGGTGTCAATAGTTTCAATCAGAAAAGCATCTTATGCGACATATTGATTAAACAGTCTTATCAGAGACCTCTTTAGGCTAAAAAACAGCCATTTAGAATTCTCACCATTTGTACCCACCACCTATGTTGCTATTCGTAACCAAGTAGTGGGGTTTACTGTCACGGTTATAATACAGGGTCTGCCAAAAGAAGTGTAGAGATTTTATATGGTTAGATTTTCCATATTATTAGGGAAAAACATTGTTTGTTTTTGGTTTTTTTACTGAATGAAGATTAAGGGTTAGGATTTTAATGATAAACAGATGGACAATCCAACAGTGTTCTCTTATTGTTGAGATTTATTTCAAAAATGAATGCTCCATCACTGCTGCTCAAAGAGCATACCACCGATAACTTGGTATTAAAGTTGTTCCTTCTGAATATGTCATCAACAGGAATTTGTGGTTTCAACAAGATGGAGCTACTTGATATACAGCACGAGCAACAAGAGTAGTGTTGCGTGAACTGTTCCCAAACATGGTAATTTCTCGTAATAGAAACAGAAACTGGCCTCCACGATCCCCGAATTTGTCATAAACAGGCTTTTTTTGTGGGGTCAGTTAAAGGACAGAGTATATCAACAAACCACGGTCAATACAGGATTTGAAAGATAACATTAAGACAGAAATTATGAGTGAAACTTTGACCTATGCGTTGGAAGGTGTTATCCCTAAAGCACGCCAGTAGAAATTCGTTGTGAATACCTACCGGACATTATTGTTCATAATTAATTATTTCAAGAGACCTTAGTGAGCTACGGTGTCATAGATAATAAACACAAATTATACCAAGAAATTTTGTTGTCGATAGTTGCAGTTTAAATCTCTAAACTTGTTTTGGCGGACTCTGTACTTACACAACTAAAAGTACAGAGGCGCCATCTCACGGCCCACGCCTTGGATCTTTAGGTCCTTTGCCCAGAACATGCACCATTAGTCTACAGTCTAAACCCAGTTCGATTTTTCAAAAATAAAAAAAACAACAACAGTGGATTACCGTATTGCATAAAGAAAAGCTTAGGGCTGATTTCGAAAACATGCACGTAATGGCTAACTCTGAAATAACAAGAAACAAACAAACATGCATGCATGCAAAACAGTCTTTAAAATACGTTGTACAAAATACTTTACTAACTCATAGTAAATTTTCGTGACTGAAGATTAAATTTAAATAAAATTCTGAAAATATTGTCCAGTCTTGGTTCAGTCATGTGTAGGCAGTATTTGATACTTGATTGGATAGTGTATTTGGACACTATTAGCAACAGTCTTGGTTCAGTCATGTGTAGGCAGTATTTGATACTTGGTTCAGTCATGTGTAAGCAGTATTTGATACTTGGTTCAGTCATGTGTAGGCAGTATTTGATACTTGGTTCAGTCATGTGTAGGCAGTAGTTGATACTTGGTTCAGTCATGTGTAGGCAGTAGTTGATACTTGGTTCAGTCATGTGTAAGCAGTATTTGATACTTGGTTCAGTCATGTGTAAGCAGTATTTGATACTTGGTTCAGTCATGTGTAAGCAGTATTTGATACTTGGTTCAGTCATGTGTAGGCAGTATTTGATACTTGGTTCAGTCATGTGTAGGCAGTAGTTGATACTTGGTTCAGTCATGTGTAGGCAGTATTTGATACTTGGTTCAGTCATGTGTAAGCAGTATTTGATACTTGGTTCAGTCATGTGTAGGCAGTATTTGATACTTGGTTCAGTCATGTGTAGGCAGTATTTGATACTTGGTTCAGTCATGTGTAGGCAGTATTTGATACTTGATCGGATAGTGTATTTAGACACTATTAGCAATGTAGTTACATCTCATTACTCTACAATAACCGAGGTAGAGCCGGATAGAGAGTAGGAAAGATTGGCTCATCAGGGAAAGATAAAGTTTGAAATAACGAATCGTACTTGAATGCAAGTTAATCATACAAATAGCTCCACCTGCTACACTCCAGTGCAGTGGTTCCCAGCCAAGTGGTACGCGTATCCCTGGGGCTACGCGAAAACTTTATAAAACGTTAGAAAGAAAATATATTTCCACTACCTAGCACTCAACGTTTGAATATTGTTGATTCACCCTTCAAATATTTCTGTTGATTTACTTTTTTATTAATTTAAAGCTCTCTATGATTTTTTCTAAACAAATTATATGAATCAGGGATACACTACTGACTCAAAGGTTGGAATCATTGCTATAGTGAACAGTGAAGCTCTGGTGTTGAGCAACTATGCAAGTATTTGTATTGTTTGTTTATCATATAACTTTATAATTTCATCTTTTCTTTCAAAATGGTGATGTTGGTTTAAAACATTTAGGGTTTTTAGCGTGTTATTTCTTTATATTTCAAACAATCCAAATGCATCTTTGCAATAAACTGCCTTACAACAGCTTCCACAGGCTGAAATAAACAGATGTGAAATCTGTACTTTCTTGCGATTTTACAAGGGTCAAAGATGAACACAATTTGCACAGTTTAGGCTTTAGGTTTGCCATTATTTTGCAATTTCGACCAATCTAGATGAGACTTTGTACAATGATACCTTGCGATAGCCCAAACAGACTGAAGCGGACAAATTTAGGATTCGTTCCTTTCTTGCGATTTTCAGGGAGTCAAAAGCAAAAACAGTTCGCAATATATACAATTGGTAGCTCTGAACCTAGAAACATTGTCTGCATATGCAAACGTTAAAATGAGTTGTTATTGATTTTGTTTTGATTCACACACTACACGAAGTTGCATACTACGTCGAAGAGACACAGAGACTGTCCTATGTATTATAAGGTTACAATATAATGTGCTACAGTATCTCTTTCTCACAAAGAAGT